CTCTAAAAATAGAATAATTCCAAGCAACCTATTTTATTTCTTCAAATCAAACATGAATAATCAGTACCATAATTCGGTAAACTTGAACAAAAGTGTTTGTAATATCTTATTATTCAGATTGTTTTCTGTTCTTACAAGTCCAATACAATTATTTACTTTTATTACAATGTATTATGTGATAATAAATATTGTGACTAATATAGAATTAATATAAATAACTTAGTATTACAATTTTTAGGGTTATATTATTTAAAGTTAAATCCATGATTAATTTTGATCAATATTACGATATATGAGTATGAAATATCATAGAGATTATGCATAAATAAAACCTTTTTATTTTAGTAAATTACATATTTATGGTTCAAAAATTCATAAAATTAAAAATATTAGGAAGATAAGTTATATTCAAAAATAAAATTTAACCGTAATCACTAATTTAAGTCCTTAAATACAATTATAAAATATATTATTTATATTCATATTTCTACATATATTATAAGATTTTATTCACCATTATTATCCGTCAGTATTTAAATATACATAAAATTTGTTATCAAAAAAAAGAAAAAAAAATACTTTTTTGTAAGATCTCCATTTTAAGTTTTCAAAATACAACTTTTTATTTTATTATGACTATATCTAGAAAAAAAAAAACATTTTTTTTGAAACTTACTTGTTTTTGAAAATATAGAATATTGAAGATTTAATTTAAATATGTATTACCCATGCTGAGCATTGCATACTTTATCGAAGAATATTATCCAACCCATGGTTGAAATGTTAAAAATAATCTAAGAAATTGTGCAAATTGTGTTTGTGGGTACAGATCTTGGATTAAGGACGAAGAAGTTTTTTTTTTTTTTTAAATTAAATAAAAAATATTTCTAACTAGGATAATATTTTTTTATAATGATACAATACTCGTGAATTTGGAAAACTAAAAACAACAGCATCGTTGGTGAAATTTAATATTTTTTTTAATAGAAATTTACCCAGTTATTAGCTCTTGTATATTATTATACTTCCACTAGTATTAAGCAAGTATTTGTAAAAAAATAATATTGGTACATTAGGACATTCTTCAAAACAGGTTATTCATCGTTATTCAAAAATAATAGCTCATAATATTATTCTATTACAAATTTTTCAAGAAATATAAATAAAACAAGTAACGGATTTTTAAAATTACATTTTGAGTTAATTACAGTGTTTTGTATTTCAGAAACAAAAGTAAGAAAAAAAAACTTTAAACTTGATAACAAGGTCAAATTTCTCGATCAATAATTACTGTGTACGTGATGTGTAATTAGTATTGAATTAAATTCTTATGATATAAAAATATAATACCAGTTTTTTATCAGAAGAAAATGTTTTATCCTAAATATAGCTTTAGTTGAAACTTGACGTTTTAAAAATTATCAATCTTATTTTCTTTTAGTTTAAAAAAGTTGCAGTAAATTTCTGATTTTATAACGAGGTACTTGAAATTAAAAAAAAATGAAATACAAGTTCGTATATAACAACTATTGAAACTCAAAGGATAGTTCTAATTCTTGGCGCTAAAAGCATAAACCTAATATTTGATAATGAATATAATATTACTCATTAATAGTGGACACTTGGTTAGTTTTACTTTGGTTAATTTATTTTCGATTTAGATTATTTAATAATCTACATAATATAGACTTTTTGTATGATCCAATCATCAACAGGAAATATTTTGTTACATCCGTTATCACTCATCATTAGTTCATAGATATTTAAATTTTAATTTTAAAATTATTCTAATGAAGCTATTCTCCAGCTCATTGTCATTCGAGAACTAAAACTTGTCTCTGTTTCCCTTTCATTCTTACACGCACGCATTGTTAGCGTACGATAATGTGTTCATTAACACTGGTATTTTGAACTTCGGCTTGAATAACGTTTTCTCCTTCCACTCGTCAACTTTATAACGATAAAACGTATATTACACGCGCTACGCGTACGGTTAAAGCGATCGGTTCGCCATTTCCCACCGAGCATAACAGTGTACAGATATGGACGCACAATCAGATGCACTAGATCACAACAGCGCGTAGATGCGATGCCGTTACGTGGTAGTGCACGAGTGTTGACGACCGCGCTCGCACCGCATTTGTACGTACGCATCGAACACATATTGATTCGATCGGAGGCAGTGGGTTCGCTGGCGAACGATGTTCAGCGCGTGGTCCACGCCGTTCCTGCAAATCTCCACGGTCGTTGTGCTCGCCGTGCTCGTGGCGCACAAATACCTCACGTTCAACCACGGCAAATGGAAAAAGCTCGGGGTACCGTTCGCCGAACCGACGCTGTTGTTCGGCAGCATGGGTGACGCGATAGCGGGCCGCGTGCCGCTGGTCGACTTGATGGCGAAGAATTACCACCGGTTCGACGGGCAACGTTATTTCGGCATGTACGAGGCTCGCAGACCCCTGCTGGTCCTGCGCGACCCGCGGCTGGTGCACGCCGTCACCGTCAAGGATTTCAGCTCGTTCGGCGACCGGATCGCGAGCAAAGTGTCGTTCGAGCACGACAAGCTGTTCGATCACTTGGTAAACTTGCGAGGTGAACGGTGGAAGTCGATCAGAGCGAAGTTGAGTCCGACCTTTTCCGCAGCCAAACTCAAGTCGATGATGGCCGACATAAACGAATGCACGTCGCGGCTAATTTTCAACTTGGACGAACAAGTGGCGAAAAACAACGGTAACTATTCCGTTCGATCCGCGCCACGTCCGGTACGTGGATTTAGTAGATCGTATTTTACGGACGATTTCTAAGGCCGCGTGGACCTTTCGTAGCTCGAATATGTCAAAAAAAAAAAAAAAAAATACCACTAAACGTAAATTATCATTAATGTTCAACGATCCGTTTACAACTAATATTCAATTGAATAAACTACCCAAACAGATTTCATCCAATATTACACTGAATCGTTATTTACAGGAGTAGTTGATATTAGTGAAGCGGCGGCTCAGTTCACTACGGACACGATTGGTCGTTGTGCTTTTGGGCTTGAATTTAATTCATTAACAGATCCGAATTCAGATTTTTGCCGTATAGGACAAGACGTTTTTATGCCATCTCGTAGATCAGTTATATTAAATATTATTAGGCTGTATGGTTTAGGTCGGCTTTTGGATTTGCTTAGAATACGAGGAATGCCAGATCATGTTTTTGATTTCTTTGACAATCTACTTCAAACAGCCGTGAATCAACATAAATCCGGAGAAAATACCCGCAATGATTTTATTGCGACATTAGTTAAACTCAAAGACGAAGAACAACTTGATAATAACGGACAAAGTATGTGTTAAATAAATTGTAATTTTTAAAGTTAATTGTTTTATAAACGCATAAATAGCAATTCATTCGTAATAGCAATTCTGTTTAGTTTTTTGACTAGTATTTTAATTTAAATAAAAAAAAAAACAAGAGATTAAATCGAATATGATCGATAAATATTAGGAGTAATTAAAACAAATGTTATAACATCAATAAATTAATTTTATAATTCATCTGTAAAATTATTATTTCATTAATTTAAAATATTTCTTTGTTCTAAATTAATTTTAAATTTTATTTACAATATTATGTTGTAATCGTTCACAAGTGGATTTTACTATACATATTGTTTCAAAGGAACTATACTATTCACAATCATAATCTAAATCACATTAAAAAAAAAAAAAATGTTCAATACCAATTCTAAAATTTTGGACAAGGTGAAAAGGTATATTTATTAATTTTGTATACATTTAACTTAATTTATAGAAAATATGGAATATTCTCCAGATAACTTTTTATCGATGTTTTTGAAAATGGTAATTTTATTATAATTTATAATGCATTAGTATTATTAAAGAATTTTCTACGATATTAACTATTTAATTTGGCGTCCAAAAATATATTTGTCAAATATTAGGCAACAGTTAATTTTAAGTATTTCACATCTAATCAAGAATTTAATTATGTAAATAGAAACACATTTTATCATTCAGTTGAATTAAAGATTCTTAAAAATTTTATTATATTTAAAAAACTTCAAAGCTATAACAGAACGAATTTCAATTATATCTTAACAAAATTAAAGTTGTAATCTTTTTAAAAATGATATGATTTTATATTTAAAAATAAATAGTTTACGAAACAATATTACGTGTATTTGTAAGTATGTTTATTAATTTATTATTCACTACTAATGTATTAATACAGTTGTGGATTTTTTTTCAGAATTATTTACTGATGATATTTTAGCAGCAAATGCTTTTGTTTTCTTTATTGCCGGTTTTGAAACTACAGCTTCAACAATAAGTTATTGCTTATATGAATTAGCTTTAAATCCAGAAATTCAAACAAAATGTCGAGAAAAAATCAAGCAAACCCTTGATGCAAACGACGGAAAACTTTCCTACGATACTTTGAAAGACATGAAATATATGGATATGGTAATTAATGGTTAGAGTATTTTTCAGTTTCATTAATCTTAATCTTTACAGAAAATATAAATTAAATTAAATTATTTATTTATGATTATTGCAGAGGCGTTAAGATTGCACCCACCAGTTCCTGTTTTGAATCGGGCGTGCACCAAGAAATACACAATACCCGATAGTAATATAACTTTAAATGTTGGTGAAAAGGTTTTAATACCGACATATTCTTTACATATGGATCCTAAGTATTATCCAAATCCACACATTTTTGATCCTGACCGGTTTTCTGAAGAAAATAAGTCTCTAAGACCAAACGGTGTATTCTTACCTTTTGGCGATGGACCGAGAGTTTGTATCGGTAAATAAATTAAATTTGAAATTTATATCACAAAAAGTTAAATGTTTGATTACTGTTCACTATTATTATTGAACTTCATTCTTCTATGTCAATATAGGTTTGCGATTTGCTATGATGGAAGTAAAGACAGGACTAGCTGAAGTATTATCTAAATTTGAAGTATCTCCGTGTAAGGATACACAAATTCCGATCGAGATTAGGCCAAGAAGTATACTACTCACACCAAACAACCCAATTCGTATATTATTTAAAAAAATTGAATAAAAATATACTTATATTTAAATCATGTTAAAATAAACTTTCAATAACTTGCTGTTAAACTTAAGTTGTTTAAAAGAAAGTATTAGATATTAAATAAAACTTTTTATGCCACGTTTGGAAACATAATAAATGTTTTTAAAGAAGGAAGTGAAGCATTAAGGTTACGATAAATGGCTAGAAACAAAGAAAAACGCTGCCTTATGAAGTATGGACGGTTCATCAAAACTATTCGTTAATTCTTAAGCAGTTAAGAAATTTTAGTACATTAAGATATTACATATTATTTAAGTTAATAAAGTTTCAAAAAAAATCATTAGAACAAATTGATTATTTTTTCTGCAACTATAAAATAAACAATACTTATAAGCAGTATTGGGCAAATCGTAATTCGATCAATCATTAAAGATTACGATTACAATTTGTAGATATAGTCATAAGATAAATTAATGTAATCAATAATTAAAATATCAAGATATTTTTTAATTTCAGCGGATTGTTGATCCAAATACTATACATTTTAGTTTTTTTGTATATAAAAATACAATAGTATTAGCATTGATTATAGAATAGAATATCTATTCTATAATTAATGGTATTAGTAATACAGTTAATCATCAACAGCCAACCGATAAACACATACGTGTAAAAATCGCGAGTTCCCTTATCTGTCAATTTTCCGATATATATATTTCATTTTCATAGACCTTATACCATTGATTAAATATACAAATACGTATATTTAATCAATGCTTATACTAATAGACGGAGTATGGGTATAATTCCAGCGGTTAGACGTGAGTGTGCTGTTCTACTATTAAGCCGGGTTCACACTACACCGTGCCGTGTCGTGTCTTCTAAAATAATTATCTCTGATTGGTTGAACCATATTGTTACATCAAGGTATACCGTATAATAAATCACAAGTTACCTCACTAACCATCAGATACCGTGAAGTTGATTTTATCCAACTTTTGAGCGTGTGGTTAGATTTTAATAGTAATAATTTAATATTCTATGATAACAGTATTTATAATAACAAAGAGCTCAGAAGGTGTTGCATTTGCATGATTTTATTGGGCTATTCAATTTATTGCTTAGTAACCTTGAAATTATTTTCATGACACTATGAAAAAACTTAATGGGAACATTTTGAAAGAAAATTTTAAATTTCAAATTATTTATTTTATTTTATTTTATCTTATATATTTATACCTAGAAATTATGTTTAGCTTAGTATAATATTCTAACAACATTTGTACTGTTATGTACAAGTATATTTAATAAAATATCTTTATTTATAAACATTTTTGTGTTAAAAAAAATTAACTGCATATTTTTGAAGCATATTTGTACTTTTTTAAGCACATAAATGCATGCATATTTAGTATTTTTTAAGTGCATTAAGTTCGGAGCACTAATAATAATATAATACATACTGTCTACTATATAATTTAGTATTCATCGGTTATTATTTATTGAAACTTATGAAAATATTTCATATCTAATAAGAAAACAGCGAAAATATGTAACCAAAATTTGATAGCATCATCATAGATATATATTGGTATCAAACATTTTCAAAGCACACGGTCTGGTAAAATACACGTCACGGTGTAGTGTGAACCCGGCTTTACTCAATTACTACACACATACGCAATAGAATTTCAGGTTCGGCAATCGTTTGTTACATTTTAAAAATTACTGTATGGTAAGAATATATATTCAATTAATATCATTATATCATTATATTATACATTTATAATTAGGTAGAAACACAATAATTTTTATTATAGGGTTATTTTTTTTGGGGATTAAGTTTACGGGATTATTTATTAGGCAAATTAATTTTTAAATGTTTCAATAATAATGAACTGTATAAATATGAGAATAAACATATTTTATGTCGTCAGAAATGACAACACTGATATGAGAATAGTCGTGACTGCACTACCCAATCCAACCAACCAGTGATGCTCTGTCTATTAGTATAGGGTCTATGTTCATTTTACACTTTGTAACTGTCATCACGCTCATTACGATATCGCTGCGTTCCTCTCCACTACTATAGGTAATAATACAATTTGTGGACTTCGATATTCCTATCATGTGTGATGGGTATGCATTGTTAATTCACCCGAAATGTTCCGGACCATCAGCCTCTGAACTAAAATGCCTGGGATTGAAAAACACACTGCTCAAATTCTTCTGTACTATCTATGATAAAGATCTAAAAGAATTACCAGAGCTCAAATCGCTGTTAAATAAGTTGCTTATTGAAGTTGATAATTTAAAATCAAATTTAAGTTATACACAAAATCTCTCCAATGATTTCATTATTAATGAAATTAACGAGCGCAATAAACGAGCAAATAACATTATTTTCTATAATATTCAAGAAAATAATTCTAATCTGTCCGGTGAGAGATTATCTCACGATATCAGTCGAGTAAACAGTACGATTGCGTTTATTCCAGTTGACACAGATTATCTACGACTGAAGGACCGATGAAGATCATTCATCTTGGTCGTTATCAACCCGGTAAACTACGTTCTATCAAAGCTATTTTTGAAACTGAATCCATCGTGTTTGATATTATTTAGAACAAAAATAACTTACTCATTCAATTCCGCCGTCTTCAATATATATATATCTACAGATAGAACCCCTTACCAGAGACACTATATGAAGAGTTTGAAGAAGAAGCAGGTGGCACGTTCAAACAATGGTGAAACGGGATTAACTATTAAGTTTATTAAAGGTATACCCAAAATTGTTAACATTGCTACTTCGTCTAATACTCTCAATAATAAGCATAATTTTTTAATCTTCACGTAATCTACCAAAATGCTAAAGGTTTTGGGACTAAGCTTGAATTTTTTTCGTAACTGTGCCTTTAATTTAAATTGTGGCTTATTATTTTTGTCTGAAACTATGGCTAAACAGTGACACTAACAATGTTAAGCTTGGTCTTGTAGATTATAATTTATTTATAGTGGATAGAATTTCTAATTTATGTGTAAGAGGTGGTGGAACTCTATTGGCTACTAGAAAAAAATCTTAATTGAAAATTATTAAATTATGACATTACTCAAGGTATTGTTCAAGTATTTGTGTTGCTCTCTTATAATAATATTAATATACTTCTAGTTGCGTTTATTTTCCACCAAATTCCCATATCGATTTATATAATAAACATTGTGAGTTGATAGAAAATTTTTTAGTAAAAAACTCTAATACTATAATTATTCGTGATTTTAACATAAATAAATTTTCATTCACTAATTACACTTTATTTAGAAATCCAATATCCACTGTTCTTGTTAATTTACATGCTGATTACTTAAATCTAAAACAAGTTAATAACATTACTAATAGTTACAACGGTATTCTAGATTTAGTAATTAAAAACTCCACTGCTGGTTCTATACATGCTCTAATTGTTCACTAATACCTTTAATTAATTTGTATCATCTACCTATAGAATTATCTTTCTCTCTCCAATATTTAATCTTTATTTCCAATCTATTTCTCATGAAATTTTCAATTTTAATTCCTGTAATTTTTTATGACATTCTTGCCTTTTTGCCATATATAGATATTATGGATAATATAACTACTTTAGATTAAGAAAGTGCTATATTGAAATTCCATGAAATAATTAATCATTCTTTTGTTGTATTAGTTTCAAGGATAATGTTAGATCTTAACTTAGATCATAATGTATATTGGTCCAATTATAATTTAAGAAAACTAAAAAAATTAGCGCATAAAAAATACAAAATTTCTAATTCTTTATTTGATTATTCTATATTTTCCAATTTACGTAAGGAATGTAAACAATTATTGAAACAACTTCAATTAAATTATATACTTGAAAAATACATTGAAAATAACATTTATATCAATATAAAATCTTTTTGGAAATATATTCAATATTTTAAAACAAATAAATCCAATATTCCAATGTCAATGTTTTTGGATAAGACATCTGCTCACAATTTAGAAGAAATCTCTTAATTATTTGCTATTCATTTGTCCTCTGTTTATACTAAAAACAATTTGTTTCATGATATTCTTGAATCGTTTAATGTTAATATCCATGATATAAATACTAACTTGATGACCATATCTGAGGATGAAGTTTTAGAGTAGGTATTTAATATCAGATAAATGACCTACTAGCCCCGGTGGTATTCCACAGATTTTCCTAAAAAAATGCTCTTCAGTGCAGGTTAAGCCTTTGCACTATTTATTTAATCTCTCTTTATCAACTGGTGTTTTTCCTAGTTTCTAGAAAAAATCATTTATTTCACGTATACATAAGTCTGGGAGTAAGAATGATATCAGTAACTATAGGCCAATCTCTAAAATCTCTTCTATACTTAAATTATTTTAGGCTATTATTTCTAAAAAACTGTCTAGTATATTATTAAGTTATATTAGTCCTACTCAGCATAGTTTCTTAGCAAAACACTCGATGTTTACCAATTTACTAGTGTATCAAAATTATCTCACAAATGCTTTAGATCTAACCCAAATGATCTTGCGGGACACTTTAGAAATACATTACGAATCCGCGGGCCACATATAAAATTATATTTGTATTATGCTGCAATACAAATAAATTGAGAATAAACATTTTAAACAGGATTAATTATTATTAAAAAACAAGTTTTGGTGTATAATTATTTGATATAAACAGAATGAATAATTATTATTTTTATAACCGTATTCTGAATCTAATTCTTTCAAGAACTTTTTTAAATTGTCGATCCAGAAGCACATGTAATCGAATGTAATTCACTGTTTTTATGACTACAAGAATAACATGGTTCATTGACAAATACTTGGGAACAAAGATTTTGTTGATGAATCTAAATGTTTGTTAATAATACGGATTCCATGTTATGCGGGCATTCCAGAATATTTTATTGGGACAAAAAAAAATTTTTTTTTTAAATGTTTGATAATCTCGCGGGTCGCTAACTAGCTTCCAAGATGGGCCACAACCAGTTCACGGGTTGGCCGTTTCTGCTTTAGATCAAGGTTTTCAACTTGACACC